AAGTTGTTTTAGTTTTCTCGGTTGTGGTACTGATGAAAGGTCACTTTCAGGTCCATTCTCTCCTGAACTTTGTTTTGTTTTGTTTTTATATAACCCTGCTTACTTTCTGTGTTTTTTCTCTCTGCACTAAACAAATCATTATCTTCTCAGATAAGGGACTTATTTGCCAAAACACAATCTAGACCAGTGGTTCCAAAACGTTTATTGCCTTTAGCTGGCCCTTGCTGCACTATTCTTTCCACTGACACTTATGATGAGGCACAATTCCTCTCACTAACACCACTATGGGCACTATTCCCAGCACTGACATCAACGATGGAGCAAAATTCCTCCCACTGACACCAATGATGGGGCACTATTCCTCCTACTGACACCAATGATTTGTCAGGATTCCTTCCACGACTTCTTGGTGGGACAATTTTCTTCTCACTGAAACCAACAATGGAGCACTATTCCTCTCACTGACCCAAATGACAGGGTACAGTTCCTCTCACTGAGACCACTAATGGGCCACTTTTCTCCCACTGACACCAACAATGAGGCACTGTTCCCTCAAGTAACTCCAACTGTGGAGAACTATTCCTCCCACTGACACAACTGTTGAGGCACCATTCCTCTAACTGACATCATTTATAAGGTTCTTCCACTGAGCCCATTGATGATGGGGCACTATTCTTCCCACTTCCACCAGGCATGAAGCACTGTTCATCCCACTGACACCAACAATGGGGCACTTTTACGTCCTTTGACTTCAAGGGTAGGGAATTATTCTTCCTACTGTCCATAGGCAGTAGGTCAGTCTTACTTTCACTGACCACCAAGCCTAGAGCTAGGTGGATCATTTACCTCCATTGTCCACTGATGCATTAGCATTTTTTACGCTCATTGTCCTCCTTGGTTTAGCCCCCTAAAGTCTGAAGAACTGTGCCCCTTATTCAGAAAATTTGAGGTCCCCAGATGCATTTTGAACTGCTAATGTAATTCATTACCTCACATTCATTGGTGTCCAATATTAATTTCTCTATCACAATCACTATATTAGACTTTTTTTTTGCTGTTCTCTGACACACAACTAATAATCGACCACTCTGGTTCACTGAACTTTGTTTTGTATTTATTTGACCCATTAGACTTTTTTCCTTGCTCACATATTAATTTCTTTTGTGTGAATGATAGGAAGAGCATTGTCTGATCTTTGCACTGAAGTATCCTTTAAAAAATATATAAAACAAATACCAATGATCATTATCTTTAACATTTTACTTGTACAATTGATTATAAAAGTTATTGTTAAAAGTACAGAACCCTCATTTCTCATGTATACCTTAGTGTTAGTTCACCTTTACAGAAAATCTGAGCTGTCAGCGCTCCCACAAACTGTTCCACTGTTCTGGGGATTTCACTTCAAGAAGCATGAGCATGCTTGAGACGAGTGCTATTTTTAAGGACAGCAGGGGTCATATCACAACAGAAGTACTCACAATAGTGGTAGATCTGTCAGTGCTGGCAGGGCTGTGTGATCTGTCACTGGCTGTGTTATCTATCTGCTGGCTGTGCTCTATCAGCCTGCAAGTGATCTCCCAGTACTGCCAGCACTAACATATTCACCACTATTCCAGGTTGTGTTAATTTCTGCAAGTGATAGTGAAGGGACACTTTACCTGTCTACCAGGGACAATGCTTAGTATCAGCAAAAGGCTCCAGAGGAGTAGGAAGAGTGCAGGGACACGCCATCCTTCCTGGAAGCTTCCCCATGTGGATATGGACCATTCAAGTCACTTTCTGCCCCTCGAGACAAACACTGTCAGCACCCCTGAGTGTTCCCGGTCCAGTTGTCTTCCACGGAGTCTGTTGTGTAATGGTGGACTTCCATTACAATATATTCCTGTTACTGTTTTCTGCCAGCCACACCACTCTGCACTTACCCACACTTGGCACAATCTTGGGTCCTGATAGAGGAGCAGGGATCATCATGGCACTGTTAGGAGCAGCCTTGGCCCTGGTGCCTAAGTTTAACACATCTAATATCTCCCTGTCGGAGTGGAAGGAGAGGGTGTAGAGTGCACCTGTGTCAGTTTCCTGGCCGGCTGATTGCGGAGCTGGATATCAACTCCCTGGTTGGTGACATCTAGCAAGCAGTGATGGTGCTATTGGAAGAGGGCCAGGCCCGCCTGAAACAAATTGTAGCACATCTGGAGGGCCTGTTCAGAGAGAACATGTCAGTTCCGGAGTAAAGGTGGAGGTTCTTCATCCATAGGCAACAAGAGGATAACAGCTTCCCCCACTTCACACTAGAGCTCTAGAACCTGTGGAAGCACCTAAAGAAGAAGGATGTACACTGTGCTGATATAACTGCTTAAGTTTAAAGGAGAAGTAGGGCCAATGCTTTGTTGGCCCTACTTCTATGGAACACAGGTGTGCAGAAAGTTCTGCACTCCTGTGACTTGTTTTCTCCAAGCTGGGGAAAGATCGTGACTTTATAGTCTGGATCCATCCAGATGCCTGGACCAGTTGCTGGCTCAGCTTCTCCGCTGCACCATTGGGAGACTGAACTGGCTGCTCCCGCTCCTCCCCAGCCTAGCACTCCAGTGAGTGCTGGAGTGGCAGAGCAGGGAGCTGGAGACTTACAGTCTTGGTTCTCTGCTAAGAACGGGGGAGAGAACTGATCGCTTATTTCTCATTGCAAATGCAACAGGCACAGATGTAGTATCAGATCAATGCTGCAGGTGCCAAGGTTTTTTTTTAACTTCCCCATACTTCTCTTCTAAATATTTTAAAAACCAACCAAAAAGCACTGTAAAGTTAACTTTGTATTGCTGTTATAAAGTTGGATCCAGACAGTGGCCATGGGGGGGTGTAAATAGAGCAACCAGCAGACCTATCAAAGAATGTCTTCATTTAATAAATATAGTGCACATGAGCAGTGATAATACAGGACTCCCAGCTCAAGTTCACTTATTGACTTCTTATCAGAGGGATTAAAGTTATCAAGAGCTTGCTCTTGATGCAACAGATTCATTTCACCACATACTTTGCCATTACGCCCCTGATTTTTTTTTAATCTGCCAGGAGAAAATTTAAATTAACTAGTAACTGTGAGTATTGACAACCATAAAAATCAACCTTTTCTCTCACTTGGCCGCATTGTTTGATGCACACATGCATCCAGAGCTGTCTCATGTTAGTGCAGATATTTTCTTCTCATCATTACTGCAAGTTAGAAGCAATTTCAGAGAGGCAATGGCAAGGTGAATATTTTTAGTTACAGGTACAAGTAAAATATGGTTGCGACCTGCTCTAGAAAATTAAAGTTCTTACTTTTTTCCCTTCCATGTGTGATTATTAAAGAAAAGATATGCTTTGCCCAGTCAATGTAAAATTCAAGCAGCATACACCTATTTTTCCTTTGCTCCAGTTAAAATAAAAATGGACAGCGGTTTAGACTGTGGAAGAGCATTAGGCCAATCAGCACTGTTATAGTGGAGTCATTGTCCATGGGTTATGACTTCAGTGACTTGGATCTTACATAGGGCTTTCCTTCCACTCCATGTGGCTGAAGAAAGTGGCAAGTCCTCGTACACATGAATTTCTTTTTAGACATTTAGCTCTTCTGGCAGCAGAAAAAGGTAAACGTGGTAAATACGATTGTGAACACAGTACCATGTTTACCCACGTTTAGTGTTTGGATGCTAATTAATTTGATTGTCAAGAGTATTTTCCATTGACATGAATAAACTCCCAAATGCTAAACACAGCTAGCCTCATTTAAACACATTTATGCCCAAAACGATTCTTCTGTGCTCAGGAGAGGAACGTTTAGCTGCCCCTAAACTCTGGTAAAAGCCTATGTGTACATGGACACATAGGCTTTTATTGAGTTGAGTTCAGGGGCTTCTGCAAAAAAACACCACACAGCTCCTAAATGCACGTTTAGGTGTAGCAGTGTACATGAGGCCTAAAAGGAAGACAATTATAAACTTCTGTGGCAGTTTGCTTTATAGAAAACCAGTTGTTTTGAGCTGCAACTGTTCTCCAGTTAATTCTTGAGTCCCCATGTAAATGTACAGGTGAAACTCAAAAAATTTGAATATCATGCAAAAGTTCATTTATTTCAGTAATGCAACTTAAAAGGTGAAACTAATATATGATTGTCAGGAAAAGGCCATTCAAAAGTGTTGGGGACTTTCACAAGGAGTGGACTGAGGCTGGAGTCAGTGCATCAAGAGTCACCACACACAGACGGATCCTGGACATGCGCTTCAAATGTTGTATTCCTCTTGTCAAGCCGCTCCTGAACAACAAACAACATCAGAAGCGTCTTACCTGGGCTAAAGAAAAACAGACCTGGTCTGTTGCTCAGTGGTCCAAAGTCCTCTTTTCTGATGAGAGCAACTTTTGCATCTCATTTGGAAACCAAGGACCCAGAGTATGGAGGAAGAATGGAGAGGCACACACTGCAAGATGCTTGAAGTCCAGTGTAAAGTTTCCACAGTCTGTGTTGATTTGGGGAGCCATGTCATCTGCTGGTGTTGGTCCACTGTGCTTCATTAAGTCCAGGGTCAACGCAGCCATCTACCAGGAGATTTTGGAGCACTTCATGCTTCCTTCCGCAGACGAGCTTTATGGGGATTGCTGACTTCATTTTCCAGCAGAACTTGGCACCTGCCCACACTGCCAAAAGCACCAAAACCTGGTTCAATGACCGTGGGATTACTGTGCTTGATTGGCCAGCAAACTCGCCTGACCTGAACCCCATAGAGAATCTATGGGGCATTGCCAAGAGAAAGATGAGACATGAGACCGAATAATGCAGAAGAGCTGAAGGCCACCATCAAAGCATCCTGGTCTTCCATAACACCTCAGCAGTGCCACAGGCTGATAGTTTCCATGCCACGCCGCATTGAGGCAGTAATTGCTGCAAAAGGGGCCCAAACCAAGTATTGAGTACATATGCATGCCAGGGGCGGACTGACCAATTGGAAACTCGGGCACTGCCCAAGGGCCCGGGGTCAGTAGGGGGCCCCATGAGATGCCCCTGGTACCTTTTTTCATAGGCTTTTTTGAGTTTGGGCAAGGACACAGGGGCCCCATGATCCTCTATTGCCCGGGGGCCCCATGAGTTGTCAGTCCGCCCCTGATGCAGGCTTATACTTTTCAGAGGTCCGATATTGTCTATGTACAATCCTTGTTTTATTGATTGCATGTAATATTCTAATTTTCTGAGATTGTGGATTTGGGGTTTTCATGAGCTGTAAGCCATAATCATCACAATTATGACAAATCACGGCTTGAACTATCTTGCTTTGCATATATTAGTTTTTCACCTTTTTAAGTTGCCTTACTGAAATAAATTAACTTTTGCATGATATTCTAATTTTTTGAGTTTCACCTGTATATCTTCCCACTCAGGGGCGGACTGACAACTCATGGGGCCCCCGGGCAATAGGGGATCATGGGGCCCGTGTGCTTGCCAAAACTCAAAAAAGCCTATAAAAAAAGGTACCAGGGGCATCTCATGGGGCCCGCTACTGACCCCGGGCCCTCGGGCAGTGCCCGAGTTTCCAAATGGTCAGTCCGCCCCTGTTCCCACTGTAGCTTGCAATTAGGCGGGCCATGCCAAACACAGACCACAGCCACCTGTCCAGCATTTCCACTACAGGTTACAGTAGAGGCATAGAACCCTGCCATGCACATAGTATGGGTCCCAAACATGCACTTGACTTTAACTCTTGAACTTCCGTACCTCTGTACAGAGATGGAGACCTCTGCAGTACAGATCCGTTCCGGTTGCCAGGCGAGACAGAATACTTGCAATGCACCCCTCTTCAAACCAGGCAAAAGGCAACGTTTCAGTACTTTACTGAATAAAAGTATTCACAGTACAAATCCAAATGACACAGTCTCTGCCTATGTCCCTAATCCTAACCAGGCTATGAGCCTTTGATCCTGCAAAGGTAGAGTCCAAGTAATTACAAAGTCCATCAGAGGCATTCTTCAGCAGCTGGTGTCTTCAGGGCGAACCCCAAGTTCTGATGACTTTACATCTTGGTGGTAGAATGTGGCATCCCCCTACTCCTCAGGAAGTAGGGCACATGGCAGGACAAAGACCCAACAAAATACCCCTTTGGACTAGGCCCACAGTCCCCTTTTAAAGACAAAGGGGCATTGGGTCAGACCCAAAAAGCACACCAAAAAGCCAAACAACTGGGAAAGGCATTAACCCCTACCCTCCCATCTGGGGCAGCACCTATCTAACTAATTTCAACCTGCTTACATGCAGACTTCTGAGATACTCAGTAAGCCAATCATGCAAGCAGGAAATTACATTTTTGAGGGATGTCATGTACACCATCTGTGTACAGAGTGCCTTTAGGTAATTTTGAATAACATTCAATTACAATGACTTGTCTTGCAATTGTATACATTACATTATTTTTTTTTATTTGCTATTTTTCCCCATGAAAGTGGAGTTACCCTTTAACCATACAGTAGGTAACTGCTGGTTGTGCAAGTATGTCCAAATCCGCAGTTAGACTGTTGTTGCTTTGTGCAGGCTCAGCAGCCACAACTATCTGCATCCACCTATGTATCCAGCTGCAGAAATCCACTGGATTCTGGCTGCAGCTGGAACATTTTTGCCTTCTTAATGAGGCCCTAGATGTGTTTCTTGCACCTTTGAGCCTACATTACCATACCTTCCAAGTTATAGTGCAGCCAAATTTTATGTCTGTAGCTATTTTAATTGCTTTATTTCTCAATGCAAATTGCAAAATACAAAAAACAAAAAATAATCATTATAATTTTGATACTGGCCAAAATATATGAGTTGCTGTATGACTACAAAGGTATGTTTTAGATCCTAATGAGGCTCTGCAGAAGTACGAAAGTTCAATGGCACCCTCTAGTGTGCATAAGAATAACTGAAATGTTGTGTACAATAATTTTAGAGCCAATATAAAACTTGAATAAAAACTGTAAAATAATGTATGCTCTAAGATTACTTCTATATGAGCAAGCAAATGATTTTTGACTCTTTGAAGAGCAAGTCTATAAATCTTTATAAGTCCTTGTTATAAAACAAGTTTTGCTTTATAAGCCGTAGACGTCTTTTTCATAGAACTGGCAAGGCACAATATAAATTCCAAGAATCAAATCCAGTTATTGTTTCAAAACAAGGACTCCTTCACATTAGCGGCAAAGGGGCGTTAAAAAATAAATTGATGGTTGAGCTGTGTTTTTACCGCCCCTCAATCATCCCCATAAGTTACAATGGAGACTGAAATGGGTTATATTTATTTATTTATTGCAGGTACTTATATAGCGCTGTCAATTTACCCAGCGCTTTACATATTATATGCATGTTTCTGCTGCAGTGCTATACATTGTAGAAACAAATTATACCTCATATCATGTTCAGTGGGCAGTACTGGTGCTGAACACAACCCTTTAAATTGAATGGGGCCATGCTGCAAGTGCTGGTCAAATGATCAGCTTACAAATGTGGCTCTGTATTTACATAGAAAACCCCTGTTCAGTTGCAAAAAAAGCAGGCATTGAGGAACCAGCAGTATCACCTCCTAAATGCCTCCTTCTATGCTCCTATCTGAATTGTGATTCACGACGGCACCAGGATTCGGCTGCCACCTATGCGACCCAGTCCTAACAGCCATACTAGTGCTTTTGGTAGATCTTTAAATAACACCTTGCAAACATTTACATATGCATGAATATGCTTAGATCAGCTAAATTTAAAGAATTTTAAACATTTTTAAAAATATTGTTTTTACAGTATGTACTGTATAGTTTTCCGGTATACATGGTAGCAGAATCTTTAAAAAATATGTAAACCTAATTTCATATTCCTGATATGTACCTAATGTACCATGTATGAAAAAGTATCCTGTTCTCTTTGTATTGCTTCTTTTGTGTGGAATCCCTGGTGTTCCTGCCAGTCCCTCTGCTTTCCTAATAAAAACTGACCACACACCACAGCGTGGTCATGCTCCAGTGACAAAGCAGTTCTTTAGGCATGGAAGTTGTAGCAATTATGCACACGGAGATGAACGCAGTCATTCATTTTGCTCCAAACCCCTCCATATTGTATCTCTCTCTCGCAAATCAGATTCCTCCGACATCCCCCCTCCCTCTCTGTTGAGTGACATGTGGTCTGTTTGTTGCAGAGATCACAGGCAGCAAACTCATTGGGAGGGTGTCATGGCTATAAAACCCCCAGCCGAGCTGGTGCCTAGATGCCTGTTAACTCGCAATATGGGATATCGTAAGACCATAAACCAAGTCCTTCACTGAGTTCACAGACATTCCAGGTAGTCGTAAAAACAGACTTACATTTAAAAACTCACTTTTCCATATAATTTTATATCTTCAAATAGGACATAATTACATAAACAGGGAGCACATATTCGGACGGCTCACTTTAAGACAAGTCGCCTGGTATATTACACCCCCTAGCTGGCATATACAGGAGAGCAGAAAATTATATCTCTTTAGCCATCCAAGCAGGCATCTCATATTTCATATGTACAGTTGCAAGAAAAAGTATGTGAACCCCTTGGGATTACGTGGAGGTTTGCATGAATTGGGCATAAAATGTGCTCTGAACGTCATCTAAGTCACATCAATAGAAGAACACAGTCTGCTCAACATAATACTACACAAACATTAGATGTTGCCATGGTTTAATTGCACATAACATGTAAACATTCACAGTGCAGGGAGGAAAAAGTATGTGAGGCCCTAGCTTAATGACTTCTCCCAGAGCTAATTGGAGCCAGGAGTGAGCCAACCTTGACTCCAATCAGTGTGATGATATTGGATGTGTTGCTGACAGCTGTCCTGCCCTTAAAAAAACACACACCTGTTTTGGGTTTACTGGTTTCAAGAAGCACTGTCTGATGTGAACCATGCCTCGCAGAAAAGAGCTCTCAGAAGACCTACAATCAAGAATTGTTGACTTGCATGAAGCTGGAAAGGGTTATAAAAGTATCTCCAAAAGCCTTGATGTTCATTTGTCCACGGTAAGACAGACTGTCTACAAATGGAGAAAGTTTAGCACTGTTGCTACTCTCCCTAGGCGTGGTCGTCCTGTAAAAATGACTGCAAGAGCACAGCGCAGAATGCTGCATGAGGTAAAGAAGAATTCCAGAGTGTCAGCTAAAGACCTACAGAAATCTCTGGCACATGCTAACATTTTTGTTGACACATCTACAATAAGGAAAACATTAAACAAGAATGGAGTACATGGGAGGACACCACGGAGGAAGCCATTGTTGTCCAAAAAGAATATTGCAGCACGTTTGAAGTTTGCAAAAGAGCACCTGGATGTTCCACAGCACTAATGGCAAAATATACTGTGGACAGATGAAACCAAGATTGAGTTGTTTGGGAAGAACACACAACACTATGTGTGGAGAAAAAAAGGCACAGCACACCAACATCAAAACCTCATCCCCACTGTAAAACATAGCGGAGGGAGCATCATGGTTTGGGGCTGCTTTGCTGCCTCAGAGCCTGGACGGATTGTTGTCATTGATGGGAAAATGAATTCCAGAGTTTATCATTTTGCAGGAAAACATACGACCATCTGTCCGCCAACTGAAGCTCCGCAGAGGATGGGTGATGCAACAGGACAATGACCCAAAGCATACAAGTAATTCAACAAAACAATGGCTGCAACAGTACAGAATACGCCTTCTGGAGTGGCCCAGTCAGAGTCCTGACCTCAACCCGATTGAAATGCTGTGGCATGACCTTAAGAGAGCGATTCACACCAGACATCCCAAGAATATTGCTACACTGAAACAGTTTTGTGAAGAGGAGTGGTCCAAAATTACTCCAGATCGTTGTGCAGGTCTGATCTGCAACTACAGGAAATGTTTGGTTGAGGTTATTGCTGCCAAAGGAGGGTCAACCAGTTATAAAGTCCAAAGGCTCACATACTTTTTCCTCCCTGCACTGTGAATTTTTTCATGTTATGTGCAATTAAACCATGGCAACATCTAATGTTTGTGTAGTATTATGTTCAGCAGACTGTGTTCTTCTATTGTTGTGACTTAGATGACATTCAGAGCACATTTTATACCCAATTCATGCAAACCTCCACGTAATCCCAAGGGGTTCACATACTTTTTCTTGCAACTGTAGATGTTCCACAGAAGATGCTGGGTAGTATTCTACTCGTGGATATAATGTTATATGTACCTAGGAAAAGTTATTGGCCATAGTATAATTTGAAAAGGCTTTGGTCATAGCCTGAGCTCCCTGCCTACACAACCCCCTTCCCAAATGAGGCGATTGGTACTCTGCTTCAGGGAGACACCCTGTGGAGTTCCTAGAAAAAGCTAATCTGAGCTGAGTTGAAAAAAGTTGAAGAATCTCCCTTTTTAAGGGAACTAACTTTGGGAGATAAAGCATCCTTTTGGCTCATGAAACCTGATCTGCTTAAACCAGGACATTTGGCAAGTACTTTACCTCCCTAAATTCCTTTCTGTTATCTCTTTGCTGTGCTATTGTTCTTTGTATATTTATATATATTGGCTACATCTTTTTCTGTAAATATATTTATTGC